TATCTCCCTCCCCGGCGACATCTGGGTCGGTCTGTTCACACACTCAGCATTCTATCTGCTCCAACAAACACTCAGCCTTTTCTGCTTGGATAAGGAGATTTTTTAGTTACATCCATTATATGTGTATCAACATTTATGGCAGCAAGATAATTGCCAAAGAGCTCAGAGGATAGAGTCCTTCTTCATAATGTTCACCTCTGTCCCTTTAAAAAATCAATATTAACATCAAGTAGGACAGTGGCAGGTTCTTACATGGCTGCTCTATCCTCAAAGTTGAAAATATGATCTAAAAAACAAATTGGCTAGATTAGGAAGAAAAGAAAAGATTCAACAGTGGGTTCAGAACCCACACTCTAGTGGTGCACACGTGTGAGGACAGAAGGCCTTTTTTCTTTGAAACCTTTGCTAAATAGCTCCAAAGCAGCAGATCTGCTCTACATTAGATGAGTCCTTGGAAAGATGCCATTCTAGTGTAAAGAATTTAGATCACGTTATCTATATAGCAACCCAATGATTAGGAGGTCTGCCATCAACAGGAGTACTGGACAAGAGAACATTCGGGTTGATTTCTGATCCCTCTGTCTCTGATTCTGGGTTAGAAGTTCACACTTGCAAAAGACACAAAAAGGCGGACACTTTCCACTTTTGTATTGTTTTGATTGGCCTTCTGCAGCTTTTTTTTATTCCTCCTTCTTATCCCTTCCCTTCCAAATATCAGCCCCATTTTATCTGTCTAGTTGGTTGCCGATGACAAGGTTGAACTTGATGCTTCACTTTCCCAGAAAATGACGATTTCATTCACAAACCACAGTGTTTTAAAACTGGAAGGGACTCAGACTCAGAGGTCATGGGGTTGGAGGAGAGAAAGTATGGACTTGTCCAAGATCACTCTGCTAATTAGTGGGCAGAGCTTTCTAGAACACAAGTTTCCCAGCTCCTAGGCTAATGATCTGTGCAATGCACTGTTGTAGAAAAAAAATCAGAATCTTAAAAAAGGGGAGTTACTTCACATTGAGGCTACTTTAAAGAAGAGGCATAGTCCAGCTATTTTCAGAAGAACCAGTTGTCTAAGACCAGCTTATTCCCTTTCATAACCCCAGATAGTAATTGAGTTTCTTAGGGACCATCCATTAACAGGTGCATTTTATGCCTTTAGATGAGCAATTTAAAAGGAAAGAAAAGCCATTAAGCATGCTGGCTAAGCTAAAAAAATTCCTTTCCTTAGTAAAAAGGATTGGCAATAGTGAATCTCCTACCTTAAGATGCAGTGAATGTGTAGCCCCTACCCCACACCAGCAACAGAGTATTTCCTGGTGGAGTGTAAAAATTCAATGACGTTCCTATTTCAACCCACACATCTGTGTCACTTTCAGCGTCAGTGGCAGGAAAACAGACGAAATCACCCTTTGCTAATGATTTCCTAACATGGAATTTCCTTGTATCTCCTAAAGGCTTTCTTCTTCCAACACCAAACTGTTCCCCATCCCCCACCCCCAACACGTTGTACTGAAGGAAAACTGAAAATGGTCACGGCCGGAAGAGGATGATTTTTAAGGAGATCTTGTATGGAAAAGCTTCAGCTCTTTGTGATATTTTTAAAGGGGGAAAGAGTGCTACTTTTTTTCCGAAGCTGAACAAAACAGAGAGGTTTCCTCCAGACATCTGGAAATGTCTCAGCCCTATCTCTTTCTTTTTTCCTGCCTTTTCTGTCCCAAGTTCCACTTTGAGCAACATTCTTACTTCAGTACTGAAAGAAACACTCACACATCGCAGGCAGGTACTGGGAGAGGGCAGGGCAGCCCCCAGAGCAGGAAGCAGGCATTGGAGAACCACCAAGCACAAAGCAGTATGGTAACCCATCACTTTTCCCCTCTGGAGAATATCCTATTTAACATGCAAACTGGTCATCAAATGAAAAGAAGGCTGTTACTTTAAGGGGAAGAAGCTGATTAGCTGCTCTGGCTGGCAGCAAACAGCTGGTCTGTCCGGCAGGTTCAAGGCCATTTCAGCTTCTCTCTTATGGAGGCACCATATGTTCCATCTCGCACATCAGCAGCTTTATTTTCCAATGATCTTGCTCCAGAAGAGAAGCACAAAGGGGGGAGGAGAAGGCAGAACCAGTAGTTTACCCTTTGATTACTTTCTTGTGGCTTTAGATGCAGTTGAGATGTGTGTATGCACGTTGGGGGTGTTAACGCTTCATCTTCTACTCCAAAGACCAGAGAACAAATGTTTGACCAGCACTTATTAATAAACTCTAGAAATGGGAAGGGAGGGGAGTAGGGGAAAGATATGTAAAAAGGCACAAATAAAACGTCGACATCAGATTAAATGGAAGTGGGAGAGGCGGAGGCGGCCAGAAAGGGGGTGGAATCTGACTTCGCTTGGGAGACCCACCAGCCCGAGCTTGGGCCCCGCCCACTCTCCTCATTTGTCACTTTTTTCTTTTCAGTATTCCCTTCCCCAACAAACTCCGTGAGAGAAACAGAGCGCTTTGGGGCACAGGGGCGGAGCAGGCCGATAGAATGGCGAAAGGTTACTTCTAACATTGTATTTGACATTCCTCAGCCCAAGCCCTGGTTCTCGAAAGTTTTGGGGGGGGGGGGGCAAGTAGAAGGGATAAGGACCCGCTAAATCGTTAATCTAACTAAAGCTGGCGGCTTAGTGCCAGACCCTGAGTTAGGTGCAGAAGCAGCAGGCCGGCGTGCGGTACAGAGGGGCACGCTCATCCTCACTGCCCGCCCAGGCTACAGGAACTTCGGAGGTGGCGGCTCCCACTGCCTGCGTGCCTCCAAACAAAGGGCGCTAAGAGAGTTTGAGCCCCTGAGTGTGGCGGGGCGGAGGGTGTGGCGGGAGGGCGCGGGAAGAAATGCAGCGTGTAGCCAGACGCGGGTGGCCGAAGCCTCCGAGCCGCTGCCACCGTCTCAGCCACCGGCGGGCGCGACAGCTGCCCTGATCTCCGGCGGCGAGGGGCGCCTGGTGCAAAGCGAAACCAAGGAAAGGGCGCCCCCTATGCCGGAGCCCGGCGAGCGCAACGGCGAGTCGCGTCTCCCCACCCCGCCGAGCGCTTGCCGCCTAGGGCCTCTGCGCGTGCCCGCCGGCTCGCAGTGCAGTCGACTGGATCGTCCGGGCCGCCGGGATTTAGGGTGTCCAGGGCTGACCGGCTGGGCGTGCAGCGAGGGCCCGGGGGCTGGGGCTTCCTGCGCCTTACTGGGTTCCCACAGAGGGTCCCTGAAACACAGCCCCCTCCCCCATCGCCTACTCTTGCCCTCCTGTCCCGAGCGGCTCGAAGCCACTTGGAGACAGCCGCCCCCGCCCCCTGCCTCTGCGTCCCTTTCCCCTTCCCTCTCTCCAGCCTCCTGGGAAACAAAGGGGCTTTTTATAAAGCGGATTGTTGGCGGCGGCGGCGGCGGTGGTGGGAGGGAGGGGGGATCTATAAAGACAAGAAGAGGTGGAAGGGAGGGAAGGAAAGAAGCTGCGCGGCCTCCAGGGGCCCAGAGCTGTGGTGGCGGCCGGGAAGCCCCGGCGAGTGCACAGTCGACCCCGCCCGGCCGGTGGGCACTCGGGCGGTAACCCACGCCTGCCAAGAGCTGGGCCGCGCCGCTGCGGTGCCACCCGCCAGCTCACTGCAACCGGCGAACACAATTCCCCAGCCGCCGGCCAGGGCCGCTGAGGGCCGCACAGTTCCCTGCGGGGTCTACCCGGGGAGACCCAGGCCCCCTTCCCAGCCAACTCTTTCAAAATTGGTCGGCTTCAGGGAGACTTTGCGCCTTTGTTCCAGCGCATCCGCCTCTAGTAAGCTCGGCTCGCTGGCCCTCGCAGACAATGTCCCGGAGCCGGCCTCGGTTTGCTTACCCGTAAAAGCACGTTCGCCGTGGGGACGGCGCCCCCGGGGGGCACCGTGCTGCCAAACAACAACGACAAGCCACCCCAGCAAAGAGAGTCCCTTCTCCCCACGTCCCCCAGCCACCTTGTGCTGCCGCCTGCTCACACACACCCACACTCGGGGTGCCCGGGTCAGCCGCACCCAGCTGCAGGAGCGCGGCGGGAGTGAATGCCCCAGCCTGAGGCGCGTGTTTGCCCAGGTTCCGATGGCTTCAGGGCCGAGCTTTCTGGCCCGCTAATCCTATTAGTGTCTGCTCAGTCCGAATTTAATCACGGATCAGAATCAGACGACATCTCCAGCTTTCCAGGAGGCTTCGGACACACTGCATTGGGACGGAGCCTGGCCAAGCCAACTGGCCGAGAAAAGTATTTGGCGGCGCTCCGGGGGGCTTCCCGCCCGCGCTAGCCGGCGCCTGGTGCCCAGTTCTGTCGTCTCACGGATGCTGGGGAACGTGGAGCGCGGACTCTGACGCAGGGGTGCCGGCGCTGCTCCGCAGGAACCCAGTTGGGGCTGTTTCGAGAGCACCAGCTCAGCTCCGGGCTGCTCTCCCCAGGAGTTGGCAGGAGAAGGAGTGCAGGGCAGCGGGTTCGGCGCGCACACTCCACACTCACGCTCCGAGGCGGCAAACAGCGCTGGGGCGGGGGAATCCTTCATCCAGTGGCCACTGCCTACTGGCCTGGGCTGTGGGAGCTGGCATGTGAAGGCACCGTCGCCGGTGACACCCAGGTTGCAAGCGGCTCGGGGGTGCTGGGACATAGTGGTGGCCTCCCGGTAGCCCCGCGTAGCCCAATTAGCCCGCGCAGCTTGCGCCCTTCTACCTTTCCTCCCCTGTACGTGGCTGCCCTCGCCCAATTTCAGACGCCAGATGAGCGCTGAGCCAAAGGCCGTAGTCTCCGGCGTTTCGAGCTGCGCCCAGCACTGCCGGGCCGTTCTAGAAGGGGGCGGCCGCCCGCAGCGCCAGGTGGGCCGTGTGCTCAGAGCAAACTTTAGGGTTTACCGGCTCGAAGCATCCCGGGACCCCGAACCTCAGCGATGGGGACCATAACTGGGAGCCAGAAGTGTACCCCGGACCCCCCAGAACAGTCGGACCTCCTGCTCCCGCCCTCAGCCTTACCGTGCTGCAGAGCTCCGGCGGCTGCGGGGGCAGTGTCCGAGGGGCGGGCGGCCGCCGGCGCAGGCAGCCTAGCCTCAGGCGGCCGCCTAGTAACCTAGCCCGGTTGCAGATCACCCCCTGGATAGCGGCCGGTGCCCCCGCGCCCGCCCGCCGCCGGCCGCTTCAGCTCGCGGCCAAGTTCATGCTGGCGGCGCTGCAGTGGCGGCCTCAATCTGCTCGCTCCATTCCCACCGCCCGGCTCCGCGCCGCGCGCCCGGAAGGTGGAGTTTCGGGGGTTTAAGTTACTGATAGGCATTTCTCACTGCTGTGTCACTCGGGGAGGAGGAGACACGCACGCCGCACACTCACACACCCTCACACTCACGGCGACGAGCGGCTCCTGCCTTAAAGGGGAAGCCGCGCTGCCCTGACCGCGACCCCGCCACCCTCAAGCCTGGAAACTCTAGGTTTCCACGCCGGGATGGGGCCGGGGGCAGTCAAAGCAGTGCGGCCGCCCAAGGGGCCTCCCGGGCCCTCCCACCAGTCTTTAGAGGAGAAAGCGGCCGCAGGCTGGCTTCGCTGTGGCTGCTTCATTTCTCCAGTCGACTCGAACCAGGGCAGCTGGGGAGGGATCGGAGGGGCGAAAGGGGCACCGGTGCACTCACCTTTGTTGCTTCGCACTCAGGGGAGGCTGGTCGTTGCCCTCGGCGTCAGGTGGCTCGGCCAGGCGGTGCACTGGTGGGAAGAGGCGACAGCAGGGTTACCGGAGCGCCTCCAGCAGACAGAGCCCGCCCCCGAGGGCCGCAAGCGGGGCCCAGCGCACTTGGGAAACCCACACGCCGAAGGTGGACTTTCCGCGTCTGGGGAGAGCAAGCTGGTGAGACGTCAGTGGCCGGGACACAAGAAGAGCTAGCAGGGAGAGCTGAAAGCTAGCGCTCACCAGTAACAGGGCGAGAGAGCGCTCAGGACCAGGAGACCAAGAGAGACAGGAGACTGCAGGAGACACAGAGAAGGCAGGGACTGAGAGACAGATACGGAGAGAGGCACCACCGGCGGAGATAGAGAGGTAGAGACACGATGGAGGGAGAGGAGAGGAGAGGAGAGGAGGGGAGAGGAGAGGAGAGGAGGAGAGAGGAGAGGAGAGGACAAGAGAGGAGGGGAGGAGAGAGGAGAGGAGAGGAGGGGAGGGGAGAGGAGGGAAGAGGAGGGGAGGGGAGAGGAGGGGAGGGAAGAAGAGAGGAGAGGAAGGAAGAGGAGGGGAGAGGAGAGGAGGGGACGGGAGGGGAGGGGAGAGGAGAGGAGGGGAGCGGAGGGGAGAGGAGGTGAGAGGAGAGGAGGGAATAGGAGGGGAGAGGAGAGGAGGGGAGAGAAGAGGAGGGGGACCAGAGAACAAGAGAGTGTGCAAGAGGAATGACAGATCCCCAGAGGACCCTGAAGTGTCACGGTGACCGGAACCTCACCGCAAAGTATCCTATTCAGCCCCCTCTCGCTTCCAGGTTTCACCAGAGCCTGACCCTAGGGCTAGCGGCCAGGCGCTTCTCCCTTCTCTCGGGAAGCGGCACTCACCTGCAGTGGATGGCTGCTGGGTGGGTAGCGCCAGTCCCTCCGCCCACGCATCCGCTCACCAGCTCGCGCCCTGATGGCCAAACAGACCCTCTGTGGTGGTACCGGGGACCAGGGTTCTCAGGTGGCAGTTAGTGAACTGTACCCACCACCATCCCGGCCGAGTGCCCCACTCCCCACTTCCCAGTTCCCCACCCTCTGCGCCGACGCTGTCGGCGGCGTCGCCCGCCAGTGCGCTTAGCCCAGAGTCCAGGCTCCCTGGCCAGTCTCCAGTTCCACTGGGCCAGGGCACGCGATGCTCCCGCCCATGCTGGGCTGGACTGGCTCCCTCTGCAGTTATCTATCCCAAGACGGACACCTGCGGCTTCGGCAGGAACATAGCTTCCTTGGGAACTGCTGGGCGGGCCAGTGCGCCCTGTCCACCCTCTGCCCTGGCGCTGAGTCCAGCGACTCCCCCTCCCAACTCTCCCACCTCCCTCACCTCCTCCACCTCCCGGTACTTGGCTGCACCCCTTCTCCAGGGTCCCCTCCCCGAGTGCGTTTCCTAACCTGGACTTCTCCAGGCGATGGCAGCTGCAGAGGCTGAGCACAGCCTGGGAACGCAGCGCCTGCTCCGACAGCAGCAGCCCTCAGCTCCTGTCCGCACCTCTGAGTAGCAACCTGTCACCAACACATCTGGTCACGCTCAGCGGAGCCGCAGGCCACGAATAAAGGGATGGGCCCGCCGCCCACTCGGCCCCTCCTTCCCTCCACGCCCACGCTCTCGGCCCTCGGAAAGCGCTGGGGCCCCCTCCGAGGACTCAACGAGATCCCTTCGTGGGCTACGTAGGCGTAATAAGGCTGGGCGATTGCCTCCTAGCGTTTCACGAAGTTACCTGGAGGAAGAGCAGCGTCTAGGCCCAATCGCGAGAGATTCAGCACTGCCGGGGTGCGCCTGGCCCAATGGGTCGAGGCTGGGGTTACACAGTTCGGCAAGGCATTTATGAAGGAATCCACCTTGTCTGGGTCCAGTCCTGGAAAGGGCAAGCAACCAGAAGAGGTTATTGCTCTCTGGTGACTGAACCTTACCTTCAAGGCCCTGCTGTGAGAGATAGAGTCATCTCAGGGCTGCCAGTGGTCGGGTAGAACTGCGAGGGTGTGGGGATCTGTTGAAGGAAATCTGATTAAACAAAGCTGAATGGAGAACGGCCATGCCTATCACAGAGCATTGGCAGGATGCTTTTAAAATTCTATCTGCAACCTCAAAGTGCACTAGCCAAGAAGATGGAAGGTGGATTTCTGTTCCCAGCACCTCCACTCAACCCTCGGATCACCTGTTCTCATCTTCCTCAGTTGGGCAAGTGATGCCCATTCTCCCATAGTGTCCTGAGAAGCCTGTAATATCACAACTGCACGTCTGTGTGATGGCTAACTGCCTGCTTGCCACCACCACCTGGATGGCCACTAGAAAGCACAAACTCCACATAACCTGCTGAACCGAGTTTCTGATCATCCCCCAAATGTGTCGTGCCCATAGTCTGCCACCTCAGTTCATGGCTACTCCATCCTTCATGTTGCCCAGGCTGAAGGCCCTGGGATTCTCCCTGATTCTTGTCTCTTGCTTACACTCCACAGCCAGTCCAGCAGACAGTTCTGTCCTCCGCATCACCAAAACATATCCACGATGCCACTCTTTTTTGCTCATCCATTGCTTTCCCCTCTGGGTGCCAGCTACCAGCCTCTCCCCCCAGAATTACTCCAGTAGCTGCCACACAGGCTGCCCTCATTCCTCCCTCCCTTCAGCCCTCTCCTTGCAGTCTATTCCCAATCTCTATGCCAAAAACCCCACGGTGACTCCTCATTGCACTCAAAGTAGAACTGAAGTGCTTCTAGTAGCCTCTGGGGCCCTTCAGGCACGTCCCTACCCTATCTCGATGACATCATCTTCCCTCCACTCACTCTGCTCCAGCCACACAGACCTCCCAACTTGTCCTCAACACATAGATACATTCCTGCTTTACTTAAGATCTTTGGTTTAGCTGTTCCCTTTGGCTGGAATTCACTTCCGCCAGATATCTATGGGCTGGCTCCCTCATTTCCTTTAGTCTTGACAAAAATGTCACCTGGCCACCCTATGTAACTTTTCAAAGCCCCACGCCCATCTCTGGCACTTCCTCTCCCCTTCCCAGCTTTGTTTTCTCTTTAGCGCTTACCACTACCTGACCTCCTCTATAGGTTAGATCCCAAGAGGGCAGCGGTCAGAGTCTGTTTTGTTCACTGCTGTCTTCCCAGCTCCCAGCATGATGCCTGGCATGTAGTATCTATTCAATGAATGTTAGTAGATTCTGCTTTCCTGGAACTTTTCAGGAAACTCTGGGGGCCACTGGATTATACACACCCACTGGGAAAGGGGCCCATGGATGTCATTACATTTGAAGGTAGTTCATGACCTAAACAAAGGTTAAGAAGGCTGGAGGGCAGGCAAAGAGCTTTTGTTAGCAACACAAAACCAGCCTCAGGTCATGTCACCAAGGGGCACTGTAGCCCACATGATCGGTGGCAGTCTTATAGGTGGCCACAGAGGTACACAGTGATTCCTTCGGCACTGGTGGAAAGAGGTTTCCTTGTGGTTGTCACCTAGGATATCCCAAGGTTGATGGACAAATGACAGAAGAGGCCAGAGACAGAGGCTGGGTGAAGGCTTTCTCCTCACTGAATAGGCTGGCTCTGAGAGCCAGGGCCCTTTTGTCACCCAAAATGCAAGACCAAGTCTGGAGCTCAGCAGCACATCTTCCTCCATTAACGTAGGCCTAGCCTGTGCTTTACCTGCACAACCTGTGCCCCCAATGAGGTGTTGATCATCATCTCCGTATTCCAGATGAGGAAATCAGGCACTCAGAGAGGTGGAGGCATGTGTCCTGGGGCACACAGCCCAAGAGTGGTAGAGCAGTAAAGCAATTGGGCCTCAAAGTTTGGGCCATTTCCACTTGCTATGTGACTATCCATGTTTAGTGTGTGCCGTCCTGGCCTGTGGGTCAAGGCAAGGAAAAGAATACCATGGGGTCTCAAGGAGCTGTCCTTCTCCTAGGGGAACTCCTGGTCCTTTTGCTGAGTGGTTGCTAAACAAAAAGCTGGACTTAAGCTACTGGGGTCCAGAGATACCATGGTGAGGCTAATATGAGCCCTGTCTTTGGTCTGACCCAAACCTGGAGCTCAGTGGATTTGAAAAATAAAATCACCAGCCACCTGTCATTTATAGTCATATTCCTGTGAACAGATGCCAAGTTTTCCCAAGTTCATCTGACAAATGCTGGGGCTTAACTGGGCAGCCTCTGGAATTCCGGGCGTGGCCTGCGCAGGTAGGGGCCCATGGAGAACATACATGGTGACTGGAAAGACAAAACACTTCCAGTGGCTCTATTTCTCATTACTCCCATGCTCAAAAGCCTCCTGGGGCTTCCTACGGCTAACAGCACTAAATCCCAGCATCTCAGCTTGATATGCAAGGCCCTCCATAGTGAGCACAAGTCTCTATTTACTTCTAGATTCTTTTGGTGCTTTCACACATGCTCCTGGGCCTCCAGCCTGGCTGGACTGCTTACTGGACACCTAACAATTCCTGGTTCTTCTGACTTCTGCCCCTTTGCTCATATATTTCCCACGCCAGCACTCCTGTCAAAATCTTGCCTGGGCTGAGCACAGTGGATCACACCTGTAATCCCAGCACTTTGGGAGGCCAAGGAGGGAGAATCGTTTG